GTGTGTGTGTGTGTGTGTGTGTGTGTGTGTGTGTGTGTGTACATTATGCATATTTCTCCAACAGATGTCAGTATGACTAAGATTAAATATTTCTCTGATCAATAATTGAATATAATAAGTATACCAATATCTAGTCTAAGTCATAGTGACATCTGTTGGAGGAATCTGCACCAGTGACTGACCTGGTGTTGTGTTAAAATTGGTTTCTCCCCCAAAACAGTAGTTTTCCCATATTTTGCCCTAAAGCTCCGTCGTAGAAAACATACTGCAAGACAACAACAACAACAAAAAAAAACAATCCCAGCATCAGCATTTTACGGTGAAAAACTGTGATAATCTTGTAATTTTTTTTAAGTAACTACAGACAGATTACTGAGCTGCGCGAGGCAAAAATGTTTCGCAAAGCTTGTTTTTATTGTAGGTGTTGAGAAAAAAAAAAAAAAAAACTACGGAATAATCATGTATTTGCGCAATCTGGGCGTCAGGCTGAAACCCGGAAGCGCGGCAGGGGACACATTTCCTCGGGGTGACAGAATCCAGCAGCACACCTGTAAACAACCTGGAAGCCTCACGAGGAGGTGTGTCCTGCCTCGTTTTCGCATACGATTCCATTTCCTGGTGGACGAAGCAGCTCCGTGTTGTCGTAGTAAAAAGTAGGGGGGTTAAAAGTGAGGGTGGGGGCGGCTGGTTCAGGTTTGCTGTCGCAAGCAATTACTTTATCTCGGCTGTCGGTGTGGCTCTTTTAAAGGGAGAGAGGGAGACACAAAAATGGGAAGCACGGTGATGGAGTCCAGCAAGGAAAGCTCAAAGAAAATGCCGAAAAAGAAGAGAGGTCTGCGGATTAACATGCCAGTGAGTCGGTGAAGTATCTAATTTGGCTTCTTACTGTGACGTTGAATTAATTGGCTTGTAGGTGAACCCTTGTATTTATTTATTTATTTTAAATAAACGAGGAGTGAAACTTTTAGTCGGTTTTAGCCGTTGGTGTCGCGCGCGACGCTTGATTGGCAGCTCCTTCTGTTGATCCAACTCCTGCAAGTTCATTACTTTGTTCAGGAGCATAAATATTTAATTTATCTTCCTAGTGTAGGAAAGGACTCGGTTGTTTTTCAACAAACAACTCTGCCGAGTTGGAAATACATTTTATTGATGAATTTTATCAGCAGGTTCAACTGCAAGCCTTCAATGTGAGGTCATTGAAGGCAACACCCCGGCTCAAGATGCATTTGTTGACATTGTTGTGGTAAACATGATGCTTGTTTTTCTGAAATATTTTACTTTTTCCAAACCAGAACATGCTATTGACCAGTTTGTGTGTGTGTGTGTGTGTGTGTGTGTGGGGGGGGGGGGGTCCTTCTAAACGTACAGCTTTGCTCAGAAACACTTCAAAAGGAAAAAGATCTCCAGTTAAAATCAATATTGTTTCTAAGTTAATTTCATTTTACTGTCCTGGACTGATTCACAGTTGCCTTTTATTCTTTTATTTTTATACTTATAGTCACAAATAATACCACAGATTGTATTTAAAAAAAAAAAGTTATTTACAAATATTGTAACAGTACTTTTTTGGGGAGGTCACTGTTTTAATTCTTTCTATCCTGCAGCACGATCTTTGAAGGCCGTCTGCACATGGATTATTTGTCTTCCAGTGTGTGGCTCTAAAGTTTTGTTTTAAAGTTGCTTTACTACAATGCAAATGTGGTTGTTTGTAAATAATGCATTTATATGCACTTGCACAGACGGAACAAACACCCCACAGTTTTCATGGATGACCTTCAAGTGAACTGGAAACTGACGCATTGTGAATTTTTCTTGTCTTCAAGGAAACCTTTTTATATAGAGATTAATATTAAATCTTTATTTGTTATGAAGTGGCCTGTTGGCTGCGCAGAGTATCATTGCATCGTCTTTTTTTGTGTTTGTTTTCCATAGTGGAATGTTACACCGTCCTGATGGTATGGAGAAGAACCATGATATGTTTTGCATTTTCCTGCTAAGCTTATTGCAGAAGCAGAACCTGGTAATTGTTTCCATACAGCAGCAGAAGAATGAGCAAATTTTGCAAACCCTCCTATCTGTGACAACCTTGATCTATTTTATTGGAGAAACTGGCTTTTTCTGCATGCCTTTGTGGCTTTATATTATTATGTTAAAACATAATTTATTTTTGTTGTATTTTCTGTAAGTTTATTTTTTTTACATAAAGATCTTTTTTTAATTTGCAGGACTTCGGTGCATTTACTGCCCTTCAAGCGGAGACGAGTGGCTCGACCAAAAGCGATGCTCATCCGGTGCGTTTAATCATTTTTGGGGTCGTGACTTTTTTAATTTACTTGCCAGCTGTTTTCTCAAGCTTGCCGTTTTATCCTGCCACATGATTTATGAAGGCAGCTTGAACGTGTTTGCTTGGCTCTGAATTTATTAAGATGGGGATTTGGAAGAGCGAATTATTACACATGGTTATCTTTTCATTTCTGCTAACTCTTTTTGGCTTGAAGTAACATTAAGCCCAGCAGCTGGGCTCAAACTCCTACTGCAAAGTGATTTTTTCTTCCACAAACAAAATAGCCATACTGTCTGTATTTTTCACTGGAAAAATCATTCCATATAGGCAAAAGATACGCTTAAGTTTTATCTTTGTAACATTTGTGCAGGATAGATAACGACCTTTGCCGCCCCGTGTTTTGTAAATGCTGAACAGTATCTAGACAAAACCCTGATAGCAGCTTCGCATGCCTTGACAAGCTCTTGCACAATATGAGATTGAGATTTGTTGGCAAATAGAAAAGATGTGTGTGTGTGCTCCTCTGGATTGCCAAAGGATTGGTTTAGACTGAAAAGTGCCTATGTACACAAAAAAGCAGACTAAACTGTCCTTCCCTTTTTGATTGAACTTGTCACAATTATAGTGTTTGACCTTGTAGCATTCATTTCGCTGCATTTTTATTCTCTGCAGAGACGTTTGTTTTCTTCTTTACTGGCTTAAATCCCTTAACTGTAACATTTGTAGCTTTTTATGCACAGACTAGAAAACATTAAAGTTGCATTTAATCTGTCACAATAAAAACAACCCCGCGCTGGAGCTCTCTGTTAACTACAGTGCTTCACCATCTCTGAGCTCACAAATGGTTAAATGATTTGTTGTTGTTGGTACATCCAGATTAGGTAGTAGGCAGTAGTGGGAGCGGTCTCCTGCTGACTGCTACTCCTCATGTTTTGGTTTGGAGTCGGCACAGCGATTAGGGAAGGATTTCTCCATTTGTTTACATACTGACCTTGCGAAGGCAGACTTTTAAACACGGAAAGTCACGAGCATAAAAGATACATAGTGCAGTTCAAGTACTGACATTGACTCACTAAATAAGGTTGTGCTTTTCTTTAAGTATATCTTCAGAGACATCAAAGTTCATGCTCAATTATCCAGGTACAAAATCCAATAATGATCAATCAGGTCATCTGGACAGTTTCTCTTTTGTGGAAAGATGTTTCGCTCTCTATCCAGAGGGCTTCATCAGTCTGAGGAGTCCCAAGTAAACTGTTTTCCCCAACAAGCAGTACACTCCTTAAATGGACCAACCAGCTTATCGCCATCAAACTGGTTGAGAAACTGTCAAGATGACCTGATTGACCATTGTATCTTCAGAGAAGCTTAAAAAGCGCAATACCATTACCGCTGTCCATAACACAGGCACTACCACCTCACCTGCCAAAGCTTTAAGCGAAGATCTCACACGATTTGTTAGAGCTCAGAGTATGTGTTGAGGATGACCCTCAGCTACTACCACCCAAAGTTTTAGCTCAGTATTTGTTCAGCTGACTGAGTTATAGAGGTTTTTTTTGTGTTTGCTAATGGAAGCCATCTTGAGTTGACTCCAAACGTTATTCTGTTGTTGATGAAAATCTAAGGAAAGTTTCATGAAATTCATCCACTAGTTTATAAAATATTATGCTAACAGACGGACAAACACACATACAGACACAGTCAGTTACATGATTGCCTTTCTTTTGTGGTAGCAGGGGATAATCACGGTGAAATTGACATTTTTGTAGATACATTTTAGTTACTCAACAAGATTGATTGTAGGACTAAAACATATTAAAAAAAAAAAAAAAAAAAACATTCACTTAGTATGCTGTTAAAAAGTTCAGTAACGTTTGTCACTGCAGGCTGATGAGGTTACCGGTAGTTGCACATAGTTTTCCTTTAAGGTGAGCATCTTAAAAAAAAAGCTAAAAAAAAAAACTAAATTGGAGACACACACACACACAAAAAAAACACAAAACAAAAATAAAAAACTGCTTAATGTCAGGAATAAGCTCTCGTAACTAAAGAGATTAAACATCAAGTTGTGAATAATGTTATGAGGTACAGAAGAGCCTCTACTGACACTAGTTTTAAGACGAAATCACCTACACATGCACACACTCACGTGCACAGAAGGACCGTGCATTAAGCAAGTTAGCTTGTTTACGGAGAGGCTGGCTGTGGGATTGCAACACAATAATTTCTACCTTTTTATAAATATAAACATGTGCTGCCACAAACACAGCTTTCCCATGAAGTGCACTGGGAATAACTAAACAAGCGCTGCTTTGTTTTTACTCCAAGTGCTTCATTAAAACGTCACATCCAAGAGAGGCAGCCCATAATCAATCAGTCAGAAGGCTTTTCACCATTATCCGCCTCCGTGGTTTAATGGCACGTTGTATCTGTGTACTTCAAGTGAATTCATGGTTGTTTACAAAGCAGAGTGTTTATAAAAATCCTACAACACGGTCTTGCAGACCCTGCAGGTTTTTGTTAATCTAAATGTGCACAATTTCCTTTTTTTTTTTTTGTATGTGTGTTAAATTAACATACGATTACCGCAGTGGCTTTTTACTTTGCCCACAAACCCAATCTCTGTTGTGTATCTGTTCTCGGGTCCCCACACACCATATTAAAAACAAAATGAATCTATTGTGGGACTGAATCTGTTAACTTTAGGCATGCAGCTCAAAACTGTTGTTAATAGTTTGTTACTGCATCTAGAAACGTAAACTGCACCACACAAACACGGTCCTGTTCTCTGAGCTCAACATCATCTAAACGAGCTAAACCTTAGGTCTGATTAATCAAAACTGTACTTTTGTTTTTAAATTAAAACTATTGTTTTTCATATATATATCCCACGCAGCTCCTCCCCTTCCGGATGGAGAGCGGAGATTGAGCTCAGACTCCAAACTGCACAGAAAACAAATGCAGCGCTCTGCTTCCCCCCCCCCCCCCCCCTTTTTTTTTTTTTACCCAAGTATAATTTCTTCAATGACTTACAGAATCACATCATTGACTTTTATCTACATTTAACTACAGTGTTCCTACTTTTTGAATACACGAGTGTAGAATGTCAGAGAAAAAGGACTTCACGTTTCAATCTGATTTATGAGCTAGCACAAACTGTTACCGTGCAGTTAAACTAAGCCCAACAATGTGTGAAATGGAGAAGTGACTCTTGGGGAGAAGGTGCAACGAGTAGCTCTCGTTTCACAAGAAACCTTTTCTTTATATAGTGTTTCACTTTGGCTCGTTTACTTTTTACGGACTGGCTCTGCAACATAATACATGATTGTGCAGCGAATACTCTGATAATAAGTCGTGTTTACTTCAGGACTTGAAAGTAAAACTGCCTTTTTGTTGTCCGTCAGGGCGAGCGTCTCATTCGTTCAGCCAGCCCGGTCAAAGGAGTTTTTGCAAAGAGCCCGGCCAGTGCCTCATCAACACCTCATTCTGCGCCGACACATCCAAGGCCATGTTCAGCCTCACCCAGGACCATCTTCCCGTATCCCTCCCATCACAACGCCTCACCCAAGTCCCCCCATCGTCTAAGCTTCAGCGGCATCTTCAGGTCCAGCTCCCCAAATGCAAGCATTAAATTTTTCTCCAGAACCAGGAAAGGTGAGTAGACAAGCTGCACCTGAAAGAGCAAATGCAACATTTAGATTTTGATTTATAGCCACTGATCTCGTAAAAACACAACACCGAGGAAGACTTTCACAAAGGAAGTATGACACAATAGATGGAACTGTTATCTCTGAATATTTGGGTTTCCTGCTCATATTTGAGACCACATTCAGGAACTTGTCACTTAGCATGTTTTTCTTTTTGAGATTGAAGTTTTGTGCTTGCTTCTTTTTTCTCTACACCACTGAACATTGTTGCAAGCTTTTGTTTAGAAGAAGAAACCACTGCTTTGCTTTGTGGTGATCTGCAGCCAACCTGGTCACAAGGTTCATCAGACAGACGATGGATCATAAAAGTGCAGAGAATTTCCCTCGTCATCCGTCATCTTCTTAATTCTGTTGACAGCTCTCAAATGAAAAAAGGAAATGGCTGTCTTTGTTTGTTGTGCCAGTCATGGTCCAAACATTACACAATGGCCTGAAAAGACGGTTTGTTATATTCAATTACTGGTTCGGCTCCACACCCGTGGGAGTCTGGCCAGCATGCATTTAACGGCCAACATTAAAAATGCAAAAATAGGGAGAAGTGAAACAAACTGGGTAGAACAAGACCATGCTTTATGAAGAACAGACTTTGCTGGCAGATCTTCAGCTCTCGTGTCTCCATGTATTTGGGCGGTTGATGGTTGTATAACAGAAAAATAAAACGTCCTCATGGAAAACCGCTCGCATCAAACAGCCTTACGGATGAGTCATAGTTTTTGGCTCGTGCTTGTGCCCATTCTTCTGTGTTTCCTTGCAGAGGGTCTGTTTGGCAGAGGTTGGTGGTTGGCTCAGCTAGGGCCAGACCTTAAAAGTAGGTACGCGCCGTTTCCTCTGGAGACCGTTGATGATGGTAACCAAACTAACAGAGCACCAAAACATGCACGGAGTAAAACTCCTACAGCAAATGCTTTGGATCATAAATTCATGATGTGGTTTGAGGTGTAACCTCTCGTGGAACTAAATGATTTGTGGCCACTGAGAATCGTAACCAGGTACATTTATAAATGACCTTCTGAGCACACCAGAGAGGTTCACTTTGGGATTTTCAGAATCATAATACGCAGTAAGAAAGTCTCACATCTCACCGGTTTTGTTACATTTTAACAGAGAAGAATTTTCATGAGAGATATCTCAGCAGAACCAACAATCGTGTTGCCTACATAGAAGTTCATTTCTGAAAAGCGTTAAAGATTAAAAACCAACTCTAGTTAACATTTCTTATTAAATTATCTCTGGACTATTAAAGGTGTTCTTGCCTCATAAGGAATCGGAGAAGTAAACGTCAAACTGCATCATAAAACATGACCGCACGGACCAGTCCGTCTCTAAGCTGCCTCTGACCGTGAGCTTTCAGACATGAAGGGAGCAGCGTGGAACCAAAAGAGGCGTGGAGCAGAACTCGGCTGGGTTAACGTGGAGCGCAGCGCATCAAACGTCTGACAGACACCTTCTTTGTATTGTTTTCAAAATATCAGTTCCTCAATTTTTTTTTATGTTTAACTAATTTTTTAACTTGATATAAAACTGCTGTGCGTCATCATCGATGTTTCCTTGGTAATAAGCGTGTTTGTTGTTTAACCCCATGACTGGGAGGTCGCACAGACCAGATCTCATTAGCTTATCACATTATTGAGCCGTGATGCTAACTTACATTTTCACATGTGGACTGTTACAACTGTTACTGCCTCACTTCATGCCACAGATGTGCACCAGGGGTGGGTTAACTTTAATCCCCTTCACCTCCTCGATCCATTCAGAGGTCACACCAAGGGGGCCAGAAGGTGTGTAAGTCCTGGACTGAGGTGTCTTATAAAAGACCCGAGTATCAATATGTTCGTATTTATATCCACAGGCACCTTATAGAATATTAAAGAAAAAACTAATGAAAATTACAGACCCAGTGTTTATTGAAATGCACATCAGTTGCTATTTTGTGAACTCGCGTTATCTTAATATGAGAAGGGACAGTCTTGTCTTTTCTGCTTGTTCTCATGAAATATTGATATTCTCATGAGATCTGTTGGTTCTGAGAGGATGTGTTGAGAAAGTCTCTATAAACATGTCGGTTTATCTCGAGATATATCAGTTTTATTGAGTTTTAGTTGATCTAGTTTCGACTAATCTGGGCTATCTAGCCATCTTGAACTGGGTTGACTCCAAAAGAAGAACGTCCAGTTGTTACTTTCTGAAAGTTTAATTTCTGTTCATGAGAGATTTTACCCACACACACCATGACTGTTCACATTTCATGGTGATAAAGTGATAATAAGCCCATTCAGGGATTTAATCTGTTTTTCTTCTTTGTTCATTTAAAACACTGAATTGCATTTGAGCAAATAAAATGAACCTTTCTTTCACGCGTCAGTAACAAGCAGCGCATTGAAGCAATGAAACACAAAAATCTTTGCTCTGCTTTTTTAATGACATGTCAGTGATATCAGTAAGATTAATAATTTACTGTTCCACTGGCTTTTTTTGCTTGTTTTTTTTGTACTTCATGATTGTTTATTGGGAAATATTCTGAATCAGTAAATTTGGATTGACTCATTGATTGAAAATATTTAGGTGAATTGCAATGGATGGATTTTTTTTTTCCATTCATTCAACCTTTATTTAGACCAGTAAATCCCATTGAGCCTCGAGGACTCATTTACAAGAGACCTGATTTCAACAAAGAATGATGACAACAATGGACAACAGCAACAACAATAAACAGTTATAAAAAGTCATACAGATTTTTTTTTTTTTTTTTTACAAATAGGATGGCTAAAAAAAATAAAAATAACAAAAAACTGCTAGATTCTAAGGCAAATGTAGAAAACTATAAAATTTGACACAGTCTGCTGACTTACTAAGACACATTTAATTACATTATATAATTAGTTTATTATAATAGGAATGACGTGATTGTAACTGGATTTGCTTTATGATTTGGACTGTTTTGTTTTTTCAGTGCCCTGAGAGGATATTTGTTGTGAATTTGCATTAAACAAACTGAATTGAAGGGCAGCAACACTTAGTCGAACCTGATCAGAACAAGAAACTGGGTCTGTCAGTCCTGATTTTATTGTATGGGCTTCTGAATTGTTAATTTTATGTTTAATTTTTAATGAATTGGTTTTGTAGACATCCTCCTTTCACCACAAGGGTGTGCTGAAGACAGAGTTTAATCCTAATGTATCTTCCAAACCAAACTGCTTCAACACTTCCTCCTTATCCTAATTTTCCACTTTTTTCTTCGTTTGTGTTTTGGTGTAGTAAGCTGCTATTGCTGTTTTCTGGAGCACTTTTTTTTTTCTTGGCTGTATTTGTAATATGACGAGAATGTTACCCCATTCCAGCCAGTTCTAAATATGTTTAGCCATCGCCTGGACATTGTCAGCCTCTTGCTGCTGTTGTGTTTCCATCACCTTATCTGGAAGTGACCAGACTCTCAGAGGCTCCTCTCACAGCCATGCAGTCTTTGGTTTTTATTTTTTTTAACCCACACACTCACTCTCTGTTGCCACTGTGAGATGTATGTTGCCAGTAAATAAAAGACCTGGGTAGTTTTGACCTTGTATATTCTTAAGATACAGGCCACACAAGGGTAGGGTCATTATAATTTTTTAGTTAAAAAGCTGTTTAATGATTTAGGTTCTGTAGTCGCCACAACACAAGAAATGTCTTATTATTTGGTGATATTTGAGCTCTTTGGTCAGACTGTTCTGAGTGTGGTTGCATAATATGTTAATGGAGATCCTCACTGGCTATGCTTCAACTAATACAAGCAGCTAGTACTGAGTCAGAGTGTTTGAGATGATATTGATATTCAGTGGAAGCTTTCTGATCAGCTGACGGCACATGGGATGTCCCACTGTTGTCCACCTCAGCAGTCTTAAGGGTCCAGTGCAGAAAACCTACAGTCACCTAACTGTGCAAATGACCGAGGGGGACAAATGTCTTTAATACGTGGACTTTAGTTGAAGACTTTCCCCTCAGAGAGCTGTCAGCCAGTGCTGCCCTGAAGAAGTGACATCACGTGATGACTGAGTGAAGCAGATGCTCCTGTGCTGAATTTACTCTGAGAAGAGGGAGGGCGGAGAGACGTGCAGCCCGAGCCAATCGGAGGGGCTTTTCCGATAGACTGGCCTCCTTTTACAGGCTGCTGACACGCGTGCTATATTAAAGAGATGCCCTCCACAGCTGCACCTGACAATTTACAGCACTGGCACTCCTGAAGAGAGAAAAGACTGTGCCGGATCTTCGCATCCCTGCAGCTGAAGTTCTGTTGGACTTAATGCTTTTGGATTTTTCTCTTTTTGACCAAATATAGGAGCTGCTCAACGCTTCCTGCTGGTTCACTGCTTAGCTTTGTAGGAGGGTTTTATGTCTGGCTATTACAGTCTCTGCTTTCTTTTGAGTTTTTGTTAAAGTTGATCCATTTTTTTCTCTGTCCAACTTCCGTCAGCTGGATTTGTTCTAAACAAGAAAGTAAACGGAGGAATTCTTACTTGGGCTCGTAGTTTTGCTCTTATCGTGATGCGGATGGTCATGGTCACATTTAATTTCGAGCCAACAACCCATTGCTTTCCATGAAGAGGTTTGGTAGCCTGAGGAGGAGCAAGAAACGAAAAGAACAAGATGGGTTAGAAGGGCGGCATCAATCGGAGGCGTCGTGTCTGGCTGGTAATGTGCTGCACTCATTCCTCATCCTTATCCGTTCTGGTGTGGCTGGTAAAGACATAATCTTTTAGGATAATTAATTAAATTAGTGCATCATTTGCCTTGTAGCTTGTCCTCACTAATCCTCACTAATCTACATTAATGGTGCAACACAAACTGCAGTCTTCAGACCTTTGCTTTACCTCCTCTATGAAATATATATTTTGCCCTAATAATAACTTGTCAGTCAACGCACTTGATAAGGAAAGGTGCAGACAGCTGTTATGTTTTGGTATGAAGGTCTCT